TCCGAAAGAATGCATAGCTGTTCGATGCGTCCATCGTACAGGTTCTTAGCGAAGCGCTTCCAGTTCATGACTGGAAGCGAGGTCAACTCCGACGTATTAGTCGGAGGGTTCTCCAACTCCACCTTCTCGTACTGATACCCAGTACAGGCCCCCCACGTTCAACGTCTCGACGGCCATTGTTGCCGCTTGTGTCTGCCCGGCAGACACACCATGAAGAGTCTCGGTCCCCGACCGAGACTTGCGCAGCGTCTTGCGCTTGCGCCGTCGCTTCTTCTTGTGAATCCCTGATTCACTTGCGTTTCGTCCAGGCCCGGTCATGGACGAACGTTCCTTGATACCGCCGGCGGGTTCTTGTACCCGCGGGCACGCGTCATCATGCCCGGCTTGATCGCGCCCTGCTTCGTGCAGCCCGGCTGCACGACAGCACGTAAGTTTTAGTGCTGGACGTTTGCAACCGTCCACACAACTTGTCGTATCGACTCCCGGTGTCGAAGGCTTGTCGTCACCTCTACGCCTTTCGGCGGAGCAGTGTGTCGCAGCTCCCAGAGCTGACATACCGTTGTCACCTCGACGCCTCACGGCGGAGAACAGTTGGACGAGGAGAGAAGTAGCTTGTCAATGAGGATGTAAATTGCAAAGTGAGGATTATGAACTAGCTGTGAATCGAGTCCTAGCTATGACTGCGTCCTGCAGACGCTCTTGAGGTTTCGTGAAGAAGATGTCCGCGTGGGTACTTCAAGGATGCTCAGTTGGATAATGTCAAAGCGTCTTTGATCGCGCTAGACCGAGTGCACCTCTGCATGTGCTACTTGTCCATTCATGTCGACTGAAGTCAACATCAACTCACCCCCCACAAGCGGCCCATGGTCGCACAGCGCTAATTGACGGTCGTCACCAGACCACAGAGGGCTCGCTTGCGTTGGAACTGGGTTCGTGCTAGGGCCTTTGTAAGGATATCGGCTGGCATATCGCCGGTTGGGGTGTACTCCACCGTTAATTCACCTTTGTGAATCAAGTCTTTGACTGCGTGGTATTTCACATCCACAGTCTTCTGTGTTTCACTGAGTCCGTTCCGTTGCAGGCGCTTGATTGCGGGTTGGCTATCCATGCTCAGCTTTAGTGGCAAGTTCTTTTGAAGGACTTCGCTCGCAAGCAGCGGTACCATCAACGCGTTCTCAACACCCGTGTCCGCTGCCACGCATTCGGCCGCCGTGCTAGACTTGCAAACGATTGTCTGCTTCTTGCTTGTCCAAGCTACCGGACATCCAAACAGGTACACCACACAGCCCGAAGCACTCTTCCGGTGCACGCGATCGTTTGCCCAGTCCGCGTCCATGACCACGACGATGTCGTCGTTGGTCGGCTCAACTTTCAAGTGCAAATCCTTGGTTGCACGAAGGTGGCGTAGGAGATATTTTGCGGCATCCCAAGCCGGCTTCCGCGGAGTAGCTGCGTGTCTCGCGAGCTGACTAACCGCGAACATGATCTCTGGTCTGGGAACCCGTTCTAGGTAGAGCAGAGCTCCTACCACTTGTTTGTACGGCATTTTTGCCATGATCGCGCGCTCCGTTTCTGTCGGACCGTCATCCGCGA